AGAAAAGCCACTGTAAATGGCCTGGATGAACCTGCAGGTAGGGAAGGGCCGGGCATCCGGCAATCACGGGGTGGGGAGAAAGGTGTGAGTCAGGTGCTGATGATTCAAATGTGGTGCCAGCCTGATGGCTGTGCGGGGAGGGCTTGGCAAAGGAGCCATGGTCTCTGCAGCTCTTTTGCCTGGAGGAAAGCTGCCCCTCCACCTCTTGCCTCAACTTCAGGCAGGTTAGTTCCTCCCCAAGTGTCCCAGGTTCCTTTCAGGCTCCTGCCTGGCTCTGGGCTCAGAGGAAGAGGGTCTGAGTGAGTCCATGCATGGCCCCTTTAAGAGGAGCTGTGGGGCTCTTGCAGCCTCTGTGATCCTCAGGCACAGTCCCCGCTGATTTCATAGCCCGGAGTTGTGTGGCCATCTCTTCCCTGCCCTGGAGCCCTGGGCTGGAGGCCTGCTGAGGGGCTGGGACCCCGCACTCCTCTGGCAACCTCTGCCACCAAGATGTCCCTCCTGGGTTTAAACCACTGCACCCAGTGTGGGCTTGCAGTCAAGTCTCTGCTATTGGGTCCGGATCCCCGCTTCCTCCCAGGTGCCCCTCCTCCCAGTATTAATGCTTTTTCGGTCCCTTGGTTGTAGGGCTTTTGTTCAGCTAGATTTCAGGAGGTTCTGAGTGATGATTGTTCTGTATTTTAGTTGTGATTTTGATGTAATTGTGGGAGGTGGCATTTACCTTGGTCACTTACTCTGCCACCTTGCTTCCTCTCCTCATGATTTTTAAATCTTTGTTTTTCTGCTTCTGTGATTTTATGTTTTTTTCTACCTTTTCATTCGGATTCCTGATTCAATCCTCTGCTGCATCCAACCTACTTTTATTCCTTCCAGTGTTTTTGTTTTTATAAATCCTTCCATGAAGTTATTTTCTCCATTTCTTTTCAGAGGCCGTGGAAGAGAGAGAGAGGGAGAGAGAGAGGGAAACATCCATGTGAAAGACACACAGCAATTGGTTGCCTCCCACAGACACCCCGACCTGGGTTCGAGACTGCAGCTCAGGTGGAAGCCCTTGGCGGGGGGTCCACCAGAGACCCTTCATTCCATGGGCAGAGGGAAGCCCTACAGCATTTCACAGCTGGGTGCTATGTGGGTGCCTAGTCTCAGCTCTGGTGCACTGGGCTGTGGCATATTTTTGGGTCATGGTTCCAGACCTCTCAGGGGGAACCTCTGTCCTAATATATCGTTGGTCACCGCAGCCTGTCGCCCATGGGAGCAGGGCCAGCCCCTTTCGCCTGTCAGGACTTCCTTCCAGTCCTGTAGTGGCTCCTGCACCCAGACCTTGGTTAAAAGTCTCCTCTTCAGAGAGCCTTTAGTTGGTAATTCAGGGTGACTGATCCCCATTCTGTGGTCATTTCCACTTGGTTCCGGGAGCAGCTGAGAGTAAGATCCACCTACCCCTCCATCACCTTGATCCCCCCCTCTGCCTTTTAGTTCCTAAAAAAGGAAATGCCCCTGTGGTTCCTGTGACAACATCACTGCTAATAGAATAAAGCTGTTACTGCAGACTCGTCGGGGGTAGGCTCAGAGCCACGGGTCTGGAGGCTCTGGAGAGACTGTTGTGTGGCCAAGGAGCCCTGAGCCCTGGGAGGAAACAGCCAGAAACTCCACCTGCAGCTGCTCCTGAAGCTGAGACAGAGTCTGAGGCCATGAGCGCCCCCTGGTGTCCTGGGGGCCCCCTGCAGCCCAGCCTCCTGTCTCCTGCAGGGAGGTTTGTGTCTGGCTCACACTGACCTCCCCTCACTGTGTCTCGCACAGAAATACACGGCCGAGTCCTCAGATTTCAGGCTGTTCATTTGCAGATACAGCATGTTCTTGGCGTTGTCTCTGGAGATGGTGAATCGGCCTTTCACAGAGTCTGCATAGTATGTGCTACCACCAGTACTACTAATGTATGAGACCCACTCCAGCTCCTTCCCTGGAGCCTGGCGGACCCAGTCCATGTTATAGCTACTGAAGGTGAATCCAGAGGCTGCACAGGAGAGTCTCAGAGACCCCCCAGGCTTCACCACGGCTCCCCCAGACTCCACCAGCTGCACCTCACCCTGGACACCTGCAAACACAAAGACGTCCTGGTCAGGAAACTCTCACACGTCCACTGTTTCTCTCACTTGTGTCCACTCACACACTCAGTGTCTCTTGTNTGTCTATTGTTCTCCATAAATTACCTCTTAAAATAGCAACAAGGAAAACCCAACTGAGCCCAANTTCACCACGGCTCCCCCAGACTCCACCAGCTGCACCTCACCCTGGACACCTGCAAACACAAAGACGTCCTGGTCAGGAAACTCTCACACGTCCACTGTTTCTCTCACTTGTGTCCACTCACACACTCAGTGTCTCTTGTTCTCCATAAATTACCTCTTAAAATAGCAACAAGGAAAACCCAGCTGAGCCCAAGCCCCATGGTGAGTGGTCTGTGTTCAGTCCTGATCAGGGAATGAGAACAGCTGGGGATCCCGGGGCTGGGCTCCTGTCCCAGAGCTGCAGGGTCGGGGCTGGGCTGTTTTTTATGAGTAGAGGGGGCCCTATTTGCATGTCGCCCTACTATATAGAGGGTGTTGGGCTGAGCCTATGGAGAGTCAGTACCTCAGTATAGGTGAGACTGTTCCAGGGTATTTCTTTGCCATGGGAGCTTTCCACTCACCAAACACAAATTATAGAGAGATTTGGGGTTTGTTGATGAGACCACATCTAGTAACTGCGACCCAGCATCAAGGCTCTGATCTTCCCCAGTAGCCCCCAGTGCTTCCGGAAACCATCCTCTGGACAGAGCAGGACCAGCCCATTGAGGGAGGGTACAGGACCCCTTGAGTATAATAAGAGCCTCAATGAGCCCCTGTATTCCAGTGTTACTTACACTTCAAGTCTGTATCTACCTGTAGCCTTANGTAATAAGAGCCTCAATGAGCCTCTGTATTCCAGTGTTACTTACACTTCAAGTCTGTATCTACCTGTAGCTTTAGAGTCCTCACTACAATGTAGAAGGTTTTGCATCACCTGTGAGGTGGTCCTAGGTCAGCTAAGGTGAGTCCGGTTCACTGAGATCTGGGAGGTATAACTGNATAATAAGAGCCTCAATGAGCCCCTGTATTCCAGTGTTACTTACACTTCAAGTCTGTATCTACCTGTAGCGTTAGAGTCCTCACTACAATGTAGAAGGTTTTGCATCACCTGTGAGGTGGTCCTAGGTCAGCTAAGGTGAGTCCGGTTCACTGAGATCTGGGAGGTATAACTGAAGCCTCCCTTGGGCTCTGGGCCACTGTCAAGTGACACAAGAAANCATGGTCTGTTCCCTTTGTGTATATCCTGTCCCCAAGAACCCCCAGGTTCACTGGCCCAGAAGCCCTTCTGTGGGATCTCATGTCAGGAATTAGACTTCAGCCTTTTGGGGAGTAGTGATAACAGACAACNCCACAAGAACCCCCAGGTTCACTGGCCCAGAAGCCCTTCTGTGGGATCTCATGTCAGGAATCAGACTTCAGCCTTTTGGGGAGTAGTGATAACAGACAACAACCAAGAGCAATAGCGCATCCATGACCAAGAATGTCAGTTGTGGTCAAGAGTGACCTCTCCTTTCTCCCTGGGAGGTGGGGCCTGAATTAGGTGGCTTCATTTTCAGTGGCTGGAGGGGAGCCCAAGGTGGGGCCATGGTGACAGGTGGGTGTCCTGTCAGATCCCGATCAGCTCAGGTCCTGGAAAGAGGAGCTGGNGTCAGGAATCAGACTTCAGCCTTTTGGGGAGTAGTGATAACAGACAACAACCAAGAGCAATAGCACATCCATGACCAAGAATGTCAGTTGTGGTCAAGAGTGACCTCTCCTCTCTCCCTGGGAGGTGGGGCCTGAATTAGGTGGCTTCCTTTTCAGTGGCTGGAGGGGAGCCCAAGGTGGGGCCATGGTGACAGGTGGGTGTCCTGTCAGATCCCGATCAGCTCAGGTCCTGGAAAGAGGAGCTGGGTCAGCCTCTGGTCCCAACCTCTGGAAGCCCAGATATGGACGGAGAAGACACTGAAGACATTAGAGAAACATTGGATGGACCACTTCAGGTCACTGAATTCTGACCTTCTGACCTGTGACCCCGCAGAGCANTGGAGAAGACACTGAAGACATTAGAGAAACATTGGATGGATCACTTCAGGTCACTGAATTCTGACCTTCTGACCTGTGACCCCGCAGAGCAGCCTTCCTTGCTTGGGGCTGCAGGCCCAGTCTGAATATTAATGCATTAAATTGGACTTTACAAAGTTAATTACTTGAGAGTTTAGCCAGTATGATTTATTAGATTAGGCTCCTAGAAAATTTAACATGAATTATACTCAGATAGAAATGATCACAGTAAAGGGTGTGANTTACTTGAGAGTTTAGCCAGTATGATTTATTAGATTAGGCTCCTAGAATATTTAACATGAATTATACTCAGATAGAAATGATCACAGTAAAGGGTGTGATAGAGATGCACAGGGAGGCTCCTGAGAGAGCTACTGAGGGAATTAAGTCCAGAGGTTGCAGGTGGTCAGTTGGGACAAGGCTGTCAGGAGGCTGTGCAGAGGGAGACAGAGCATAGGGGGAACCATCTCTGGTGACCTGAGATTTGGTCTCTAATGGGACCTGGAGCCGGACTGACCATGTTCACCTGAGATGATTTCCCGAGACCCAGAGTCACCCTCTCAGGTGGGAGAACTGGACTCTGCTCATTTGAAACACACTCTCCCTGCTTCCTCCAGCTTCTGAAGTGCCCTCTGAGC